AGGTGGGGAAATTATACTTTATCGTGATTTTGTTGATAGCACGGCTATCAACACATTCTTTCATGACCCATCTTTCTTAGGGGTTAGAAGGGCAGGAACAACACAAGGACTGAGGCTCTCCTTGATAAGACCACGTTGTAATAACTCATCGACTTGTTTCTTAAGCTCAGCGTGCTCAGTTGGATTCATGCGGTAATGGGGTAAGTTGGGCAAGGAAGCTCCGGGCACTAGGTCAATAACGTGTTGAATGTCCCTTAAGGGTGGTAATTGATCGGGCAAATCTTCCGAGAAGACGTTAATGAAAGTTTCGAGGAGAGGTTTTACTTCCTCATATATAGGCTCTTCCTGGGTCGCACTCACTTCTCGAGCTACCAAGGCATAGAGGGGAGATCTTGATTCTAATTTAGTATCCAAGTCTTTCGCGGTTAAAAGATTCAAGCCTCTGTTGGGTTTCAAGGAGTTGGGTTTAACATCTTCCTTGACAGACTTAGGTTGGGTGGGTAGGAGTTTAATCTTCTTGATCTCGTGCTCAAACATGCAGGTGTTTGATCATCCATAAATGTGCACATCATTATCGAACAACCAGGGGAGGCCGAGGATGATCTGGCCCACATCCATAGTTAAAACATCGCACCAATTCTTCTCCTTGTATCCCACAAACTCAATAGGAATGAGACTCCTATCTGTCACTCCTAAGGAGGTCGAATTGATTCAGGTGACCTTGTAGGGGTTTGGGTGCGGTGTGGTTCTCAAGTGAAGCTTAGAAATCATAGCAGATGAAACAACATTAATACAACTTCCACTATCAATTATGACCTTGCAGGTCTTGTCACCTATCTTGATAAAAGTGTGGAAGATTGAGGTTCTTCGCCAGTCAACTTAGGTTGTGAAAGAGCACACCTAACAACTTGTAGGACTAAGCGGTCCATCTTTTGGAGACAGTTGATCACAACAATGTCGTCTTCATAGAAAAATTCGTCATCATCATCAATGTGATGAACTAGTTCGGTGTCCGGCTCATCCTCTTCTTCGGTGACTTCCTCAATAATGGTGACTTTAAACGGGCTAGAACATTGAGAGTCAATGTGCCCGTACCCATGGCATCGAAAACATTTAGTGCCAGCAGGGGTTTTAGGTGTTTCCCGTTCTGGTGTTTTACCTTTATAGTCAGGGTGAGGTTGGGCTTGGCCAAGGGTAGGTCGACTAGTCGTGGGTCCAATGGGTTTGTTGTAATGTTGACTAGAGGAGGATTTGAAAGGGTTAGGACGAGGGTCTTGGTTCCTAGAAGGAGCGTGGCTCCTAGATTCTTCTAAAACTAACACAAGACTACAAGCGGCTTCCAAAGTGTTCACTCCCTTGTCAAAAAATTCATTCCGAAGATCTTCTCTTAATCCGGCTCTAAACATCGAAAGAAGTTGGGCAGGAGTCATGGTCTCTTCCCCACTACAGTGAATCATGAAATCATTAAAGGCCGAAATGTACTCCTTGACGAGTTTGCTTCCTTAGATCAATTTATTCCAACGATCCAAAAGTCTAGGATAGTAAGGAGAGAGATATTTTCATTTTAACTCTTGTTTCATCGTCCCCCAGTCAGTAACAAGGTATTCTCCGCGGGTATCGTGCATATATTCAAGGTTCGTCCAGTACTGATTAGCTCTACCCGTAAACTTCATCTCCGCGAACCTAACTTTTCGTTCCTCAGAAATATTATATCATTTAAAATAACTGTCCATTCCCTTGAGCCAATCTAGGAAAACCTGGCGGTCTAACGTACCGTCGAAAGATGGGGCATCTATACGAATGTTCTTAAACAGTTGGGTATCATTATCTCTCAACGGAGTGTCGCGTCCTAAAGGTTCTTGATTGGGGCGGTAGTGGTCTCTAGGAGGTCCATATTCAGTTCGGGTGTCATCACCGTATGGAGAATGAGGTCTAGAGGTGGTGTAGATCGCTGGGTTTCCTATACGCTCGATGTTATCAAGTCTCTCACCCGTTTGGCGTCTAAAGTTGGCTAAGTCAGTTTGGGTGTTCCTAATTTGTTGAGTAACCGTTCCCAGTTGGCCCACGATTAGGTCTAAGGTTGCTTGATTGTGTTTCGGATCCATGGGTGGGTGTTAGGGGACGCTAGGGGAGGTAATGGGGTAAGGGAAAACACCTAAACACTAGCCTAGACTCACCTAAAGGCCACTAATTTGGTGCAGGAAAAGTTTGGACAGCAGCTTATACTAATGGTGTAAGCAACCTAAGCACTTAGGAGAGTTGTCAGCTTGTGGAAAGCACTAAGACACTAGGGAAATTGATCTAAAGTTCACTAAATATGTGCAGGAAATGCATGGACAGCAAACCAAAACAGTGAATTAAAATTATTTAGACGATGATATGCATGCGAACTTTAAGACTAATGTTTGGCTAGACCCTAGGATGTTTTCTAGTACATGATATGCATGTCTACCACGCTCTGATACCAAGATGATATGATACAACTAGGAGTTACTTGCGAAATTAAAAGAAACGATTGATTAAAACTTGATAATGAAAATTATTGCTTGCAAATAAAGAAGAGTTAGGAATCTAAATTAATCAACTTGCTTAGGCCAAAGAAGCGCGTTTGATATCATCCGAACAATCCAATCAAAATTCAAGACAATAGTAAATACTAAGTACACATAACATAATCCATCACTTAATAATGAGAGGTTCACCTTGAGTACCTTCTCACTCAATCACTCTTAGGCTTTAGCGGAGAAAGATGAACCATACGAAGAAGGATATTACCACTAGGAAGACGGTGCCAAGGACCTTCATTGATGGAGCGGTAGCCGGTGGTGGAGGAGGCAGTGGGTGACCGATGATTATCCAACGACTTGGTTGAAGGTGCTCTTCAATCGACAATGTTAGTTGATATAAGATGCAGTCGATGTATCCTTCAACAATCTCGTTGTTGCCAAAGAAGACGTCAAAGAACGGGGATCCAAGAATATCCGTCCTTCCTTGCTCGTCGAAGACGAATCCGTGGTCGACCTTAGGGTCGGCCATACACCATTGGTAGGAAGGAGGAAAGAACTTGTTTCCTTCTCTTATCTTCAAATACCATGAGGGTTTAGGACTTTCCAAGGGGGTGATGCAAGTGTAGAGGGAGGCCAAGGGTGTAGAGGAGGGGACGGTTTGGATGAGGGAGAATTAGGTTAGGTTAGGGAGAGAGAGAGAGAGAGGAAGAGTTTTAATCCAAATCTAAAATTAATTTCAGATTTTAAGTAGATTTTGAGGGATTTAATTTGAAATTTGAAATTCAAATTAAGGAGGGATCGGGAGCTTTAATGGGAATTTATGGGGAAGCCACCAATGGGGTGCCGACGACATTGAGGGAAAAGGAGAAGGATTGGTGGGGATTTAAAAGCTTCTAAATTTAGTCTTCTTAATAAGGAAGAAGAAAATTAAATCAAATCCAATTTAAAATTAAATTGATTGAGGTTTAAATTTTTTCCAAACATGGCTTTGTCAAATTAGGAAAGATTTTGAAATTCAAAATTTGAATTTCAAATTGAGGAGTTCTCTTAAATCAAGGGATGCTATTTTGGTAGGTGTTAATGATGACATTAATCATCATTAATGGTGGATGGACAATGGGGGGCGACAGCATGGTGGTGGGAGGCTTGGGAATTCGGTTTGGGGGAAAAGTAGGGCTCGACTGGCGGTGGAACTTGAGGGGTAGTATTGTGAGGGAGACTTGGGTGGGGAAAAATGGTTGACGGTGAAGGGACTAGGGGAAGCCAGCAGGTGGGGTGGGGAGGAAAGAAGGAAAACAAATTGAAATAAATGGAACCATGAGCCGCAGACTCTTTCGACGACTGGTGGGTATTACGCTTGCTCTCCTCGAGCTCTCTCTCTCCCTTCTCTAGTGCTCACACAAGAAGAAGAAGAAGCAAAGAAAAATTTTCATTAATCATTCATCAAAATTTTTACAACACATTAGACCACTATATATAGGTCTGAATCATGAAAGAAGGAAAGTACGCAATTGCCCTCTGTGCTGCAATAACAAGACAATTCCCCAAAGGGGTAAATTCGGAAAACAACAAAACTAAATAAACATAACATGAAGAAATGCATCAAAAGTAAAGGCGTTGAATCGTAGTCGTAGATCTGCGATTCCTTTGTCGATAAACTTGTTGGTAGCGTCTGTCGATGTCCTCATCATGAACTACACATAGTAATGAGCTGAAAAAAACAGCAGCACAACATTAATGAGCTGGAGCATAGCAGCTCCCAAAAACACAGCAAAACTGAATAGTCAAGCCCAAACCAAGAACCCATCAGCAGCCCATGAGCCAAGGCTCCAAATTAGCTAGCACACCCAAAGTTTGCCAAGCCTAAAGCACAACCTACTCATGATCATTGTTTGCCTTCCATCATAGGGTAGCATAAAAAAATAAAAAAAAAACTATAGCATTCAAATTACAATAAAAACTAAAACAAAAAACTGAAATTTGCATGCATCACTTGAGGTCGAGGCAGTTAAGAGGAAGTTGTTGCGGCTCGATGGTGTATGAATACATGATTTATTTGGGGCTTTAGTTTAAGATTTATATAAGTTTTAATTAAAAAAATGGGCATGGTGAGGCATAAGCCTCATGCCAACGAGGCAAGGTGGCAAGCCTCATAAAAAAAGCTTAAGGTGTAAGACTCGAGGCATTTTTCACTGGAATTGCGCAAAGGCAGGACTCAAGGTGAGGCTCATTTTGAGCAGTTTTAAACAATACCTTATATAATACTCAATAGAAACTAATAGAAAGTAAGGTTTCATAACTATTCCAAATAAGTTGACACAATGCTAATGAAGATGATTGCATGAAATGAAGCATATTTGGATTTAGCATCCTATTTTCATTTAGCTATTACAATCATATTTCAAAATTTATGTTAACTTATACTAAATTGAAATTTTACATGATATTTTCTCCAGCTGTATTTATTTTTTTCCTCTGCATTGATGTCATCAGGGAATTCAATTGGGAGGCTATAAAGAACCTATTAAGCTGAATCTTTCATCTCAAGGTTCAAGAGTTGAGAAAACAAAAGTAGGACCATTTGGTTCCAAACTACTTGACTCTGCTGTCTCTGTTTCTTCTGGTGGCAAGTAAGTTTAATCAAACTTCTTGTGAAAATAACCATTTTTATTTTCAGCTATAACTTTTCTGATTCCTCTTTAGGGATCCTAGTGCATCTCTAAACTTAAAAATATCCTAGTTTCTCCAACATTTCTACCGTAATAATACATGTAGCAATCTCAGACCATCGATTTAAGTATCTCCTCAAACTAAAAAAATATTGATCTAACTTCGAGTTTTATTAGGCAAGAAACTTGGATTCTGGAATTTGTTGATTTTGGTGGTGAATCTAGAAGAGATGTTTGGCATTCTTGCATTAGTGAAATTATCTCACTGTATGAATTTATACGTGAGTATGGACCTGATGATGAAGATGCTACAATCCAGCACGTATATGGTGCTCATAGAGGGAGAAGAAGAGCAATCAGTAGTGCAGCAAACAGCATTGCAAGGCTGCAATCGCTGCAGTATATTCAAAGGCTACCAGAGGATCCAAGTAAATTAGTGCAGTTCTCGTATTTGAAAAATGCACCAGAAGGTGATATTGTTCTCCAGGCTTTAGCTGTTAGTTTTTGGGGTGGGCCCTTGGTAAAGAAGTTTGAAGAAGCGGGCCATGGAGTAGTACACTGGTCAAGGCCATCTGAAGACTTTTCCAGTGGTAGTGAGCATGTTTTTGACCTTGATGGAAGTGTGTACCTGCGGAAATGGATGAAATCTTCAAGCTGGACATCTAGCTCATCAGTTGCCTTCTGGAAGATCTCATCAATTAAACATGGGATCATATTAGCTAAGAATCTTGTTGTGTCTGATCTAAACCTTATAGAACGAGCAGCATTGACATGCAAAGAAAAAAGCCGGAAAGTGGAGAAAACTCAGGCAACACTGGACGCTGCTATGATCAAAGGAATTCCCAGCAATATTGACCTTTTCAAGGTACTCTTTTCTTTTATAACACTGCATAAAAGCATTTTACGTTAAAAATGTGGCAGTTCTGTGTTATAATTCCAAGGAGTGAGCATGCTTCACTATAATTCTAGATGGTTTTAGAACTTATGTGAATGAAAGCTGATATGATATTTGAATAAGAATAATGAGTTGCAATGCAAATCAAAATTTAATGATGGACTAAAAGAATAGGTTTGATCATGATTATAGAGGTTTCATGACATGGAAAAAAATGTTTTTTTCTTTTTTTTTGTGAGATTAGAAAGCTTTTATAAAGCTAACTATGACTAATTTATACAAGGCTAATGATGATGATGAGTTACTGTAATCCCCCTCTCTTAAAACTAGAGTAATAATATTGTCTGTGATGTGATTCACATTTTTTCCCTATTTTGATGTCATAACAAGTAGATGTTATGATATATTTTGATACTGCAGTATGTTTAAGTTGCGTGAAAAACTTTGAAGTTGCTAATTTCTAGTTTCTATAATATGTTGCTATTTAATACTAAAAAAATATAGTTTGATTTGGCAATAGTATTGTACCTATATGTAGATAAATACGAACGCTAAATTGTGAAAGAAATAATAGTGCAAATATTGTCAATCAAGAGGGCATACTAAATAATAATGATAAAAAATTTACAAATTACTAACTTTACATTTTGATATATCATGAAGATCCAATTAGTTGGCCTCAATGTTTAAAATTGCGTATTCGGGTATTGAGGCATTTTTCATTTGTGAGGCGAGGCGTAAGCCTCAAGGCGGCCTCATAACAAAAACTCGAGGCGTAAGCATCGAGGCGTTTTTTACTGGAATTGCGTAAAGGCGAGCCTCATATTGCACAATTTTAAACCATGGTTGGCCTTAAGGATTTTCTGAAAGAAATTTGCTAATTGTTCTTCGTTAGAGATATTAGAAGTGATGATTTCATTTGACAGTATGACATATTTGATGAAATAATAATTTACTTCAATATGATTTGTTCTTTTGTAAAATAATAGGCTTTTAATAAGGATGAATGCTTGATTAGCTAACTTCAGAACTAAAAGTTCAGCAACATGAAAAACAAACCATTCAATATAGCTTTTTATGCACATCAATTCACAAGCTGAATGTTCTATAACCTTATATTCTACTTAAACACTAGATATAGCAATAACAGATTGCTTTTAACTCCCCAACAAAATAATATTTTCTCACACAAAAATAAAATATTTGAAGTTGATTTTTTCATCTTCAATATATCAAGCATGGTCAACATCTGAATAAACTTCGGTTTGTACATTTTTATTTTTCTGACAATAGTCCTTTTCATGGGGACTTTTTTACATTTGTAAATCCTTAAGACAACATACCTATGTTTTTTACATCTGCTATCTTATCACACAAATATTGAAGGAATATTAGGCTGTAAAATAGTTAGGAAGATTAGTTATGAACCAAATGATTATAGGAAGGGTATCTTCAAGGCTTTCCTTAGCATTGGAAATATCTAAAGTATCCATCAATGTTTAAAAATTGCGTAATTGGGTATTGAATCATTTTTTGTTCATGAGGCGAGGCATAAGCCTCAAAGCGTTTTGAGGCGTAAGCCTCCAAATAAAAAAAATTGACTAAAAGTAATAATAAATGTCAAAAGTGATTTTTTATATAATACCTAAATAATATGTTAAATGATGACATATTAATTTCCTATTGAATTATGAATTAACAAATTGACATACATATGAAACAAAAAATTGTACAAGATCTAAAGTGACAAGTAATAAATTGCATGAAATAGAATTAAAATCCAAATATTATAAAAACAAAATAATATTAAATATAGAAATTGCATAAAAGTATCATATAACATCAAGTTCAACTTCAAATTTTCTTTTTTTATCAATTCTCTACTCATATACATTTAATTCTTAATGAAAGTTAAAATAGTTGGCAACAACTTAGGAACTATCTGCACTGTTATGACTGAGGTGGTTTTTATCTAAGTTGTTGCATAACAAATTGGTTTATCCCTTCCTCATTCGGTAGAGTCGAATGCCTCCCAATATGCTTCTTTTTAATTTATTTCAATTATATTCATCTTTTAAAAATATTTTTATCAACATCAATATGAGATTAATGCTCCAAAATTTTTAGGGTGGTTGAGTGCAGCTTTCAAGTGATTGTCGGTGACAACTATGATAGTGTTGGCTACGGCGAAGGTTGTGGGATGGAGGTAGAGGCAATCGGGAGGAAGTTATTGCGCTCTAATTGCATGAAGGCGTGATTTATGTTAATTTTAACCAAAAAAGTATGTAAATAGGGTGAGGCGTAAGCCTCACGCTAGCGAGGCTAGACGTGCATCAAGGCGAGTCTTAGCCAAGCTGAGGCGTAAGCCTCATAAAAATGCTAGAGGCGTAAGCCTCGAGGCTTTTTTCACTTGAATTGCACTGAGGCGGACCTCAAGGCGAGCCTCATATTGCGCAATTTTAAACAATGGTATCCATAGAAGATTCAAAATGTATTGAAATCAAAAATTTGGGAGAGTCACAAAAAACAACACTTCCTATATAAAAGAAATACTGAAAATGCTAAAGAAATACTCCAAATTCTAAAATAGTCACAAAATAAAAAACAAAGACACTTTTATAATATTAGAGAGAACTCTTACATTTCATGACTCTAACAAGCAACACTTACAAACTTGGGCATACACCGACACCTTACAACTCTTACAAACGACTCAAACAAGACAAACACCTAAAGTTGCATTTCTTTGAGAAGAATGATACATCTGAGGTGGCACTTGCGGATAGAAGAAGAGGTTAGAAGCCAAGACGAAGGGTGGAGAAGCTCGCAAGACTTCCTAGAAGAAGAGAAGAAGAAGTGGACAAAGCTCTCAAGCTTTTCCAAAAAACCCTCAGGTTTTCTTACTCCAAAAATCACATTTTCACCTCTATTCTTTTAACATTCCAAAACATCTCTATTATATAGGCATGAGAGGAGAAACCAAACAACCACTAAAACTTAATTAAAAGCTAATTAAAATAGAATATGAAAAGCCAACAGTCCAATATTTTTTTATTCCCAAACGGCACAGCCAAAACAGAGAAGGAACCCACGATTCCCAGCAGGAAACCGCAAAACCTGAGCAGCCCAGCAAGGAACCGAAGAGCCAGCTGCAAAATCAAAGGGAAATTCACGGAACCAAGCAGGAAAAGCCGTAGAACCGAACAGCCCAGCAAGGAACCGAGGAGCCAGCCGCAAAACCAAAGGGGCAGGGCATGGAATTTCTTCCCAGCACAGGGAAATCAACCGCCAGCCACGGAAACAAGGGAGCAAAGGCATGGAAATCCATCAGCCATCCACGGAAACCCAAGGGACAGCACGGGAAGCCATCAGCCATTCACGGAAATCCAAGGAACACAACACGAAAATCACCCAGCACAGAGAAATGAGATGAAAAAAGGGAAGGGAGGGGGGGAGGAGAAAAAACAAGTCCAAAGTAATAATGAGCTAATTTTTAGTTCAATAAATGAACTAAAAATAGCTCATAATGAGCTAACCCCACTTAATTACATGAAGCTAGCAACATAAGGAAGTCACTACAACCAAATTTTGATAAAGTTTCACCCCCCCCCCCCCCCCCCCCCCCCCCCCCCCCCCCCGGCCCCCCCCCCCCCCCCCCCCCCCCCCCCCCTTGCCTCTATCAAAACTCCGCCGTACTTGAAAAAACTCATATCACTCCCGATGAGTGCCTTTTAGCTTTCTTCTGTGGAGGAGGATCGAAGAAGATTGCATCCAGTTCTTGAATTTTTGCTTCAAATTTCTTCAAAATTTCTTCTTGCTCTTTCTCGAACTGTCTTTGAAGATACTTCTTTTTTTTCTCGTATTTCTCATCACATAAGAACATATAATATTGAAATTTGTATAATCTGTCTTGAAGTGGATCTGTTGAATCTCCTTCAGTTGGAATCCATCTGTCCATCGGAAGAGGGGCTTCAAGATTATATGGATTACTTTCTTCTTTGACTGAATCGATCTTTTTGTCTCTTTCCATTTTTTTCTAAAAAAAAGACTCAACAAAACAAGACTCACACAACAACTACTATGACTTACCAAGATTTACTAGAACTCACAAACAAAACAACTTATGACATCTAGACACACACGACAAACCGACTCATAAACCTAGGACTTCCTAACTTGCTCTGATACCAAATTGATGCAATCAAAAATTTGGGAGAGGCCCAAATTTTTTATCACAAAAGAAGACTCATACAACAACTTGACTCGATGACCTAGGATATACCAACTTGCTCTGATACCAAATTGATTTTATCAAAAATTTGGGAAAGAACCCAAATTTTTTATCACAAAAGAAAACTCATAGATATTTGAAGATTACATGAACTCACAAAAAGAAGACAAATTAGACAATTTATAACTTCAAAACAAAACACAAACTCCACTTTATATCATAGAATGATACCTTACAAACGACGCTTACAAACTTAGAAAATAAAGACACCTTAAACACCTAAACTTGCTTTGCCTTAAGAAGAAAGATACAGGTGGCGTCGAACTTGCGGAGAGAAGAAAGAGGTAAGAAGCCGAGACGAAGGAGAAGAAGCTCGCAAGCTTTCCTAAAAGGAAGAAGAAGAAATGGACAAAGCTCTCAAGCTTTTCCAAAAAACCCTCAAGTTTTCTTAATCCAAAAGTAACATTTTCACCACTATTCTTTTAACATTCCAAAACATCTCTAATATATAGGCATGCGAGGAGAAACCAAACAACCACTAAAACTTAATTAAAAGCTAATTAAAATAGGGAATATGAAAAGCCAACAGTCCCATATTTTTTTATTCCCAAACGGCACAGCCAAAATAGAGAAGGAACCCACGGTTCCCAGCAGGAAACTGCAAAACCCGAGCAGCCCAGCAAGGAACCGAAGAGCCAACCGCAAAACCAAAGGAAAATTCACGGAACCAAGCAGGAAA